CCCCGCCTCCAACACCGCAGCCTGCGCCTTCCACACAACTGCTGCGAGCCCTTCACAGCGTATCAATCCAAGCCATTGTTTTCTGTCCAGACGTGTCATGCGTACAATAGCATGAGTGGTGTAAGGCACCCCCTTGTCAAGAGTGACTCGGTCACCCTTGCGTTGATGATGAACATGGCAGCAGGTTCGGCAATATCGATGCTCAACACATCGGTTGGAAGCATTCAGATGCGCACAAGTGATCTCATATATAATAACTCCCGTGCACGCAAGAACCGGCACACAGTCTCCTTTGGATCGTAACCCGGAGTGCTTATTTGCAGCCGTGGCGACCCACTTTGGGGCATACTGTTAAGATCTGCAAAAAGAACCGGACGCAGCACATAGCTTGCCCTGCACCAATCCCCCGCTGCACCAGTTTCATCACCCGCAGCTCGCTGCAATGGTGGCGCCTGCCAAGTGGGCCATCGTAACCGGAGGTGTGTTGCGTCGCGCATCCCATACCGTACCTTGGGGTGTCCTGTTTGTTGCGCCGCCCTCATCAGCCTTCGATCAGGTCATGTGTTTCTGGCGCGCCAGGCGCGCTGTTCAGCAATGCGCGCGCTTGCTTCTGCACCAGCAGCTTCTCGTCACCGCCCCTCTGCACCCCTCCTCCCTGCTCCCATACGATGCAACAGCCAATCGCGGCCTGGGATACGATGTTGCCAAGCAGCTGGCGGCTTCTGGTCGCTCTGTGATCATCACCTCACGAGACAAGGCTGCGGGTGCGCCTGTCTCTGCCGTGCGCCCGCCAACCACGCAAGCTGAGCTTTGCCGGCCCGCCCGCCGCTTGTGGGACAGCCGGTACACCACCACGGCTTGTAACGATCCAGCGCAGCACATCGCATAGCCGATGTCAACTTGTCTATTCACCATAATTACACCCAGCACCACCCCTTGCACAACCTGCATGCCCCCCCCCTCTTGCGCCGGCACCGCCTCTTCAGGCGCCGCTGCCGCCCAGGCTCTGTCCGAGGCCGCGGCTCCGGGTGCCAGGGTGGTGGTCCTCCAGCTGGAGGCCAGCAGCCCTGACAGCATCAGGGCGCTGGCGGCCGAGGTCCAGGCCGAGTACGAGGGCCAGGTCGACCTGCTGGTGGGCGGCTGGGGGGTGATTGGGTGGGGTGGCCAACATTTAGTGGTGATGACGAGGGGACTTGGCAGGTGCCAGCGAGCGAGGGCTGGAGGATGGCGCCCGCGCAGGGGATTTGAAGATCGGTTTACTGCTCAACAGTGCCCGGCACGGTAGGGCCTACCACTTATCCTGGCACGCGCGCGCGCGCACACACACACACACACACACACACACACACACACACACGCGCGCGCGCGCACACACACACACACATACATACACACGCACGCACGCGCGCACACACACACACACATACACACACGCACGCGCACACACACACACACACACACACACACACACACACACGTGCGCGCATGCACACACAGATCAACAACGCAGGCGTGGTTGTTGCAGACATTTCAGCGGCAGACCACGAGGCCACCCTCAAGACCAATCTTGATGGCGCCATCGACATCACACTGGCGCTGCTGCCGCACCTGGCTCAGGGCGCGAGGGTCGTCCAGGTCGCATCACGTGAGTCACGCCTGCGTGCTTCCATCACGTGGTCCAGTTGCTGGGTCTCAGCCATTCCTGGTCATGGTACACGCAGCAATCACCAAGCAGCAGCAGGTGCATCCTTATTCCTGTTGATGGTATCCGAATAGCAATCAGTGCAAACGTATGTGCTCGACGCTGTGTTTTTATGGGCCCTTGCAATACGCAACGCCCCCCGCCCCTACAGAGATGGGCATGCTGGGCATGGTGGGCCCAGGGTACCGCGAATCCATCAAGGCTGCCGCCACCCTGGATGACGTCAGGGCGGCCGCCCACAGGTTTGACGCGGAGGACCTGGCCCAGAGCCACCCCATAGGGCCGTCGTACGCCGTGTCCAAGGCGGCGCTCATCAGGTGCGCTGGCTGGGCATTCGAATCAGAACAAGCGCACACAGTAGGCCGGCATCTCCACGTGGCAGCCATGCTCGCAGCAGCTAGCCACGGCAGCGACACCACGCACGCCACCTGGAGGGCCTGAACCGGATGGTGTTGCACATCTGATTTGCAACCACGATACGCCTAATGCACAGCATGTCGTGTTGTTTGCACCGTGGCTGTTGTTTTGCCGCTGCCGCACACCCACATTGCAGTGGCATTCCACCAGCACATGCACATGCGAATGTTGGCGCTTGCATTCACACTCTTCCCCGGCTTACATGGTGCACAGGGCAACCCAGATCATGGCAGAGAGCCCAGATTTCAAGGCTAGGGGCATCTCAGTAGTGGCGGTCACGCCTGGCTGGTGGTGGGTGTTTGCAGGCAGGGGCCTCAATTGAGG